GAGAGAGAGAGAGAGAGAGAGAGAGAGAGAGAGAGAGAGAGAGAGAGAGAGAATGTATTATGAGTAGTAATGGGATTTATTTTACTTTTCTGTCTAGCTTTCATCTCTAGTAGCATTATCATATGATGGCTGACTACATCCTCAACATGCCTTTTTAGCAAGACACCAAAGGCACAGTCTGTCAGTATACTTGCTCCACACACACGGCCCATAGGCAACTCTTTCATCATTTGATTGAAGAGTTTGTTTTTATTAAGAAGGCTATACCAGACGCATAATCACTATACATTGATTTAACATTACCTTTACAGTTAAATTCTTCACTGAAATTACAGAATAAATATATGCACATTTTTTTCTTCAAATCTTTGTGAAGGAGAAAACATTAAAAGTGCTTCCTACAAAGCTGTTAGTGGACGCCAATGAGGGGAAATCCAGAGGCAATGAAAGGGAGGGGAGGAAAAGGGAAGGTGGAAGAGGAATGTCCTAACAAAGTGCATGGGAATATCCAGAAAAACCCTCAACATCATCTTATAATTATATTCACAAATGTTTACCATCCGAGAGTGGGTGCATCCTTTCAATTTTTTTCTTTTTTTTTTTTTAGCGAAGCACCCTGACATAGACAGAAGTCCCCGTTGATAGTAATAACCATAATAATAAGATATAAAAATTAAATAGAACACTGAACTTTAAATGTGTTGCAGTATCTCTGTTCATAACGTGACTTTATAGTTCTGAGTAAAATTCGCTCACCTCCTCTGCACTGAAGCGAGTGCATGCAGCAACTGCAGTTCAGTTTGAACATACATATTTTTCTCTCTCTTTTGATAATTTCATAAAAAAAGAAAGAAATAAAAAAAAATCTGTGCACAGCCTCCAGGTGTTTGTACATCCTACTAGGAGGAAAATAGACCAAAAAAAAAAAAAGAGAGAAAAAACCCAAAACAAAACAAACAAAAACCATTAAGGGAGACGTCCAGCTCCCGTTCGTCTTCATAGTAACTAGTAGCATGTTATTGTAACTCCAAAAAAAAGGGATTTTAGTGACAGATGTATCATGGTTTTTATGTTTTATTCCCCAGAGCCCCATCTTTGTTCCTCTTTTTGCTCTCTGCAGGACTATATAGAGATATTATATATTATAAAAATAATTGTTGTTGACATTGCTGGCTACTCTGAAAAAAAGGCACTTAATTGAAACATCTGAGAATGACCACTCCTCCAGGGTGCTTTTGGGGTGGGGGGAAACATTGTGACTTGTCATATAATTTTATTTAATATCATGCTGCTTATTCAAAAAACGTAAATTTATAAAATTATTTGTAGGTGATTTACTTTGATGGTGGCAAAGTGTAACAATTATGTACATATAATTGTTATTTCCTCCAGTGGGTTAGAGTTGTTAGAACCGATATGATTTTTCCAGAACTTCGAGGTAATCTGGCTTGGTTTGAAGTTTGGCCCTTAACTCGAGGTAATCACTTTGGGATGGGTCAGGGTAGCAGCCTTTCCCGGCTGTGAAAAGCAACGTCTCCTTCAGCCGTGCATCTTGCTGCAAATCTGGGTACTGCATGCCTGGTGGGTGTGCATGTGCAACATGCATGTCCTTTAATTTAGGTACTGTTCCGTACAAGCAGTCTACAAAGCCCACTGTTGGCGTGGGCCTCTGACTGTCAATTACTGTAGGGCACAGCCCTCCATTCTCATGAAATCCTGCCAGTTCAGCTGCGGTGTGGTTGACTGTAACAATGGTGTTGAGTTGAGAGTTTGACACAGCCAGGGTCCACTCTCTCTCTTTCTCTAATAAGGTTCTGTAGTTACTGTTGCTACTGCAGCCGTTGTCTTTCTTTTCTGAAAACTGTGCCCTTTCCTCCTCTGCAATCTCCCCCTCTCTAGGCTTGTAGATAGGATTGTTACACATCTGAGTCACAGGGTGGGGGATGTAATCATAAACATGTCCGTGAGCATGTGTGTGACTCGTGTGCGTGTGTGTGTGCATACTGGGTGTTGGCTTCTCCGGTGTGCCAGGGTTCCCAGCACTGTTTTGCCTTGGTGGGTCCTCAAAAATCCTACATTGCATTTGGATCCCTGTTAGGTCTACCTCAGAACGTTTGCGAAATGGCAGCTTCTTCCTGCGACGTAGGACAAAGGCAAAGAGCCCAGCAGCTACAAACACAGCCGAGATGAAGAGGATAAGCAGACTGAGGATGAGGACTGACAGCGGGACAGCCCCCCTCGCACCTGCCTCCCCCACGTCCGAGCTCCCTGTGGTGAGGTCATCCCCACCKGGCAGAGCTGGTGAGGGACCTGAGGAAAACTTCAGCTCAGGACAGATGACATCCACTTCAAGTAAACGCAGATCCTTCCCAACTGCAAACTCTGGTGTCTTGCAGATGACATCTCCCACCACAATTACCGAGGAGAGCTTTTCCAGCCACTGCTTGAAGGGGACGATATTGCACGAGCAGTCCCAGGGGTTCTGGTGGAGATCGATCTGGACAATGGAGGTCAGATGTTCCAGGACACCATGCACAGGCAGGGAAACAAAATAATTGCTGCGGAGATTGAGACGTGCAAGGTTGGTGCCAGCAAAAGCATCAACAGGAAGGGATTGTAGCAGGTTGTTGTTAAGGAAAACCAGCTGGAGGTTGGGCATTAAGGAGAAAGAGTGAGGGGGGATTTCACGGAGGATGTTGTACTCAAAGTAAAGATAACTCAACATCTGAAGTCCCCGAAACATACCAGGAGTAAGGCTGTCTATGTCATTCCCATTCAAATATAAACTTTTTAAGTTTGGTAAGTTGATGAAGGCGCCCTCTTGGACATAAGATATCCGGTTGTTTCCTAAATGCAGTAAATCCAAACTTGAGAAGTTCCAGAAATCTGAACGATAGATTCTCTGTATTAGATTCCCACTGAGATACAATTTCTTGGCATTGAGAGGACGTGGCAGGAGTTCTGAGATGTTATGAAAGCCTTTCTCTTTACAGTTCACTGTTAAGCCCAGGTCATTGATGTGAAGGTTGCAAATACACCCAGCTGGACAAATAATTGGAATGGGTGGTCTTGTTTGATAACCAGCAACTGGGGGCTGGTTGATACCTGGATAGATGCTACGAGGGGTTGGGGGGTTCTTTGTGGGCCGGGGTCGTTTGGTAGGCTTCACCACTCGTTCCTTGTACTCCACAGAAGAGGCTGTGTTGTGAACAGAGGAGAGCATGGAGGAAGGTTTAGTAGGCCAAGTATGCTCATTGCTGAATGGTGCCCGGGGAATTCCCAGCTTGGCCTCAATCTCTGCATCGGAGAGCAGAGGACAAAGCTCGCTGCGCTTTATTTCCCGTAGGTCTTTCCCATGTAAGTGGAATGGGTACTCACAAGTTATCTCGCCCACTAAAGCTGTGTAAGGGATTCTCTCCAGCCACGTTTTTAACTGGACAATTTCACACACACAGTTCCAAGGGTTATCTTCCAGCTGGATTTCCATCAAGCTCCGTCCAACGTACTCCAATGTGCCCTTATACGGCAATGTCTTTATTCTGTTCCCTCTCAAGTCTAGATGTGTTAGGGACACAGAACGGAAAAGATAATTTGGGAGAACAGGAATGAGATTGTCATTTAATATGAGCACTCTGAGTTTGTGAAGGTGCCTGAATGCACCACTTTCAATCCTTTTGATAACATTGTAATCTGCCTGGAGATACTCAAGATTCTCCAGTCCCAGAAATGTGTCGTTCCGGAAAACTTCCAATTTGTTTTCATGCAGGAACAGCCGTTTGAGTATTCCCAAGCCATTGAATGCTCCGGCATGTATATCTTGCAAGGCATTATTACCCAAATTAATGGATATGGCATTGTTAAGATGGAGGAAGCTGTTAAAATAAAGCTTCCTCATAGAGTTCCTCTGCAGGTTGAGCTTGAAAGGCCGGCTCCATATCTGGGAGATCTGGCTGACATTTGTAAATCCTTTGCTGTCACAGTGGACATGGAAGATGCCCTCTTTGACCTCGCAGTAGCAGGGTTCAAAGCAGGGCTCGTCGATCTCCTCAGAGTCCTCTAGCAGTGGGATTGGTGTGGTCCATCCTAAGGCTATGGTGCTCAGCAAGGTAACCCACAGCATCCTCGCTGACACCAACAAGATGAAGTTTTGGCTCCAGGGACAGAGCCACTTCACAGCACTGCAACAGAGAACAAAGAAAAAAAACAATAATGCAAAAAGTGGGCAAAGGAGGGTATATGTGAACTAACTGTCACACAAATACACAGAAATTCTCACATGATAAAGTTTGCAGGAAAGGGTGAAAAATATGGGTGGAAGAGTTCAGAAATTTTAGCAAGATGAAAGGCAGCTTTGAAATAAATACCAATGAATAATAGAATAACTGCAGAAAACACTTCATTATCTGTATTTGGATGTTTTGTTTTTTTTTTACTAAATGTAAGCTGGGCATCCTTRAATGGACCAAATGATATCCAAAAACACACAAAAAATCTCCGTACACAGATATGTCACTTCACCGTGTAGCCAGAAACGCCATCTATTATACAGCAGATGTGCTGGTAAGGTCGCAATAAATCACAGCAGAGATGCTTATCGCCATGAATAAACAAAGGGAACAGTAGCAGGGTAAGGGCAATGTTAAGGAGACACTGTCCTCTTTCTATATTTATTACATAACAGGGACCTAAATTTCTCCTTTAAGATATGTTCATGAAACAGAGGGCTGTTGTGTTGAAACTTCATCTCAGTTAATGAAATGTCAGTTGTAAAGAACAAAAATGCAAATAGTTGAGAACCTTAGATATATTTGCATTCTRTCTAACACTAAATCTGATCAGACAAAAATGTGTTGGCATTTGACATAAAAATATGATCAATTTAACTAAAGGTGTGGCAACATTTAATAAGTGCCAATAAAATGAATGTGGAAGGAAAAAGGAGCCCAATAGGTCAAATGAGTCCAATGTCCAGGAAACAACAAAGCCCAGAAAATTTGCCCCCAGTGTTTTTTTTTTTTCTTCAGCTACTCAATATGCCAGGAAACTCTCAATTTAATGATTCTAAAATGAGATATAAAGTATCCAAAGGGCATTTAAAAACAACTTATTTTGGTTTTCTCAGTTATGGAAGCTTTTTGATGTGAGAGGATTAAAGGAACAATGGCACAAGTGAAAAGCGCAGTGGGCGAAGCTCTTGCTTCAAGTAGCACAGCTATGGAGCACAATGTTTTAATGTGGAGCCAAATGGCTTTGAAATAAAATGTAACAAAACAAATATAGTTCTGATGTCACAGGCCTCTGAGATTCTAAGATTTAGCTTTAATTTGGAAGGGGTGGGGGTAGTGAATTGATTGAGATTTCAGCTCAATATACTGTATATGTGAGCAAAGTATTTCCCCTTGTTTTGTATTCACACACACACACACACACACACACACACACACACACACATACATACACACACAGCCTCTTCTCTTGTTATTATTTTGTGCAAACTCATATTCTATTGAAGGCAAAGGGAACATATAAGCTGAAGCAGAATCGCTGTCCATGGTGCTGAAAATGAAAGTCCATAAAAACGGGGAACTCGGAGGAAGAAAACAGAAAAAAAAGAGCGGAAAATCGTGTATTCCTCAAGAAATGCATCCCAGATATAAAAAAAATATCCATAGACAGGAAATCCTCGTAAAAAAATAATGCATATACACATTACAAAAAATAAAAAATAAATAAAAAATAAAAATCACACTTTGCACGTCCCACTTTGTATGTGTAGTCCTCCAGGATTTTATTCCGCCTCCGTGTTAGTGATGAAGAATAAAAGCCAGATGCAATAAGAAAAGTGATGACATTTGAAAACACGTAACACAGTAAGTACTATAATAATCCTCTTGGGTGTTATAAAATATAGCGGATATACGTACTTAGTTTTAGCGGGATTCCAACTTCACATTTCCTCCCACAGTGTGTCCTGTCGCTGCCAGGTGCGCCCCGCTCCCCGTCCGATGCCGGGCTGCAAGCGGGGGACATAAGCAGAAATGAGGAGGACTGACTGAAGCCCGTTAAAGACAAGAACAGTGGGGGTGGGTGGGGGATGGAGGGGTACACGGACAGAGACAGCGAGGCATTGAGGAAGGGGAAAGGAAAAAAAAAGAAAGGGAGGAGAGATGGTGCATGAGAATGAGCCACGGGTGAATTAAAAGTGCTGCTCCATCATGAATGGCGACATAACTCGGTCCCATTGAAAGATCTAAACACAACATCCAGTTAGTGGCAGATGATATTGATAAAATATTAGGAATGATTCAGTCCTAATATCCTTAAAACCACCCTCTGTGAAGAAAAAAAAAAAGGAAAGCCTGCGAAGACAGCAGGGTGCGTGGTAAAATGTGATGCAGTCGTGACATTGGCCCAAAACATTTTTGACTATCGATCAGTCGAATAGATCTCCTTTTTCAGTTGTCATCCATTTATATTGACACAGCTTGTTGTCCTCTTTTTGGAAGTCTGTGGCTATGCAGACATCATGAGCACAGAACCCCCCCCACACACACACACACACACACCAATCGGCACATCAGAAAAAAAAATACTTTCCACATGGAAACAACCTACTTACCTCAGTTTTGTGGTGCACTTGGAAAGCATTGGGGAAGCAGACCACTAGTTTGAATCTCTCTTGCTTCTTCTCCCTCCTTCCTCCCCTCCTCTGTCCCTCCTTTCCTCTCTCTCTCTCTCTCTCTCTCTCTCTCTCTCTCTCTCTCTCTCTCTCTCTCTCTCT